GCTCCATACACGGTTGACAGCTGAAGGTACGTCATCTCTCCCAATCCCGAGCTGAAGCTTGCGATGGCAATTCCAAACAGACGTGGCAGCAAAGTACCAGAAGTTGCGACAATGAGAATGCCAACGAATGAGATGGCCGAGCAACTGAGAATTCTTTGTCCGTATCGTACTGTGCCTTTGACAAAGTATGGCCAACCAAGTTTGACCAGTAGAGCGGGCGCTATGTTGACGAACAAGATGATCCCCTGCGGAAGTAGTTTTTCGCTCAGATCCTGCGACAGACGGCAGCAGGCTGAACTAACCTTTGGTGTTGAGGCGGCATTGACCAGGTCGAAAGCAGCCGACAGTATGACAACGTATAGCACATTGTTGAGTAGTCCCTCGATGAAGAATGAGGCCGAGTACGCGAATTTGTGAGGAATAGGTTGTAAATGCGACCCAGTTGATCCAGCAGACGACATTGGCACGTGAGCGACAGGACGAGGCGGATAAGTTGGAGTTGAGGTCACGTTCAGGCCCATAGACGAGCTCAGAGTCCCTTCAAGCTTGATTTGGTGCGAGCGTGGTGAAATTAGTGATGATTGTGGCCGTCCGACGGGCTACAGCCGTTCGCGTTCGCGACCATGCAGCGTTCTCGCCCCAAATCGAGAGAGTGTGGAGTCCAATCAAGCTCTCTGGCGCAAATTGAATGACTTTGAGCGTCCAGTGTCGCGCTTGCTCGTCGAATGTTTGCTGCTTTGACCACGAGACAGCCACGAACCCTTGCTCGAGCGCTCGCTCGAGTTCAAGCGTGACCGGCGCCCGACGCCTTTGACCTCCTTGCCATTCCTCCGCACACTCGCGCCACTCCGCCATCATCGCATTTCGCACCTACTAGAGCTCGTCTTTCTGGCTCTTCGTCGACACCCCAAGTCAGTTCCGACCCCAGCCTTCGGCGATCTCGAATTTCGCCTTTCTCGACGTCTCGCCATCATGGCCCTTCTGAAACCATTCGCATCTACTTCAAAGTACGTTTTCAAGACTATCTCGACTCCTTCAGCTCTAAGCCCATCCATTTCACGGTTGACGGCCACGAGTTGTCGTCATCATTCGTCGTCTGCTACACCACCGCGATTCTCACCATTCGGCAAGACATCAGCAGAGACAGAGATCCCTTATGGAGACATAGATCATGCTTCATCTGCATACCTGCCGCACGACCCGCGTGAAGCAACCTCGAGTCGATCCCCAAAAGACACGAGCATACCCAACGACGCCACAACGTCAACGCCGTCTGAACTGACACCAGAGCAACAGAAGTTGTTGGAAGAGATCATCAGAGTAGATCAAGCCGGTGAAGTTGGAGCCAATTACATCTACCAGGGACAACATGCAGTGTTCAAACGAAGGAGAGACAAAAGAGTGGCAGACATTGTCCAGGTCAGTCTTGCGAGTGGCGCGCGTTCCATTGCCGGGTGGCTGATTAGGTGCTTTATCGTCTACAGAATATGTGGGACGGCGAGAAAAAGCATATCGCGACGTTTGACAAGCTCATTACGCAGCATGGCATCCGACCGACTGCGTTGTATCCGTTCTGGAAAGCGGCAGGTTGGGCCCTGGGCGCAGGAACGGCGTTGATGGGCAAACGTGCGGCCATGGCTTGCACCGAAGCCATTGAGACTGTCATTGGCGAGCACTATCATTCGTGAGCGCAGCGCACACCTCGCACTACAGAGGTTTGGACCGCGTGACTAAGCTTTCGCGCGTTGTGCAGGCAAATCAAAGAGCTTGAACGCATTATGCCTCAAAATCATCCCTCGATGCCTTTACTCAAGCAGATTTTGGCAGAATTCCGAGACGACGAACTTGATCACCTTGACACGGCCATTGCCAACGAGAGCCAACAGACGCCTCAATACGCTCTTCTGAGCGCACTGATTGCGACAGGATGTCGCGTTGCCATTGCCACGACGAAAAAGGTTTAGCTGCACGTCGATGTGGTATAGCGCGATGTTGTCACGTCTTGAGCTAGGAATTAATTGAAAATACAACATCCGTAACCATCAAAACCCTTTCCCTTTATGCTGCCTTCGTTGATGGTGCTGCTGCCGCTGCTTTCGGTTGCTGCTGTCGCTCCTTCTTCCACGTTTTTCCGAACTCTTCTGCGTGATCTCTGATGATGTTGGCCTCGTGTGGGTTCACGTCATCGGCGTAAATGAACAAACGTTCCAATCGCTTGTCTCGTAGCCTGTTCTTGGGCAGCATACCAGAAACTGCTCTTCTGATGATCTGTGCACAGTGCGAAAGCAGACAAGTCAGGTCATCATGTTTCTCTGTGTCGCGATCAAGCTCTTGGTTGAATGTTGGATTGAGAATGTCTGGTTTGTGCCACCAAGCTCGACAACGTACCTCTTCGGGCTTCTTCTCCATCATGGTAGCATACGTGATTTCTTTCAGTCCACCTGGGTAGCCGGTGTGATGTCTGTACAGCTTTTGTTCTGCTTTGCGACCAGTGACTTTGACGTTTCTTGCGTTCGTGACAACGACGTAGTCCCCACAGTCGTCTGACGTTCATTCGAATGAAGTAAGGAGCGTCAGTACCAATTGTCAGCATCTGCTACAGGCTGAACATGCGCGGCCAGACTGACTTGATTGATCGTACACGGGTTTGTGCTTGCCCATCAAGACGATGGCGATCCGTGTTGCCATTCTACCGAGCACCTGATCTGTTGCGTCTACTCCTCTCCATGTTCTTGTGAATGCCAGAGCTGTCTGTTACCATGGGTCAAACGATAAATGTCAGGAGCACGGTTCAGGTTGCAGCCAGCTCGAGACGGAGCGACTCGAAAATGCAAAGAGACAACTGACGTTGCCTATTGTCATGTTGGGCGTAGACGTGTGAGGCCTCGCCCTCGATGTTCTTGCGAGTGTTGATGACATGGTGGGCTGACAGCGGTTCGTGATGAGAGAAAGACACCTCGGCACGGCAGAACGCGAGTTGGCGTCCTCCGCGAAGATCACGCATGTCTTCGAGCTTGGATCGGTGAGCGTTTACACGCGCTTAAGCTCATACAAACCTCTTCAGCTAATTCAATTCGAGCTCTAGACAGATCCAGCAGCTCAAGGAATGGTAAGCATACATCAACGCATGTCTCAAGCTAGGGCGCTATCACGCTAGGCGGTCATGCGAAGGCATTCTCACAGAATTCAACATTGACATCGTGTGCCACACAATAACAGTCAACCGATATCGGAATCTCAAGTCAAGGACCTGTGCTTGAAAGCTCGCGAGGTATGACCTCAACGTCGATCGGCATTCAGCGTGCACACCACATGCTGACAATCGACGCTTTTGACGGGTTGTCCTGATGCATGACAGATTCTGATAGAAGAAGCCAACGTGCAATGGATCGATGCGCCCGTCACCGTAAGCCAAACCTCCTCCTTCGCCACTCGTCAGAGTCACCTCGCTCATAGGTCTCAGCCAACAGATCTGCGGTGACATTCATGGTCAATTTTGGGATTTGTTGGAACTATTCAAGACAGGCGGCATGTGCCCAGACACGAATTACTTGTTTCTAGGTGCGTCCAGTCCAAGCAACTATGTGACTCTGCCTCCAGCGTTCAACGCAATTGACATCTCACGCAGGCGACTTTGTCGATCGAGGGTTTTATTCAGTTGAGACTTTTTTGCTGCTGCTCGCACTCAAAGTGCGTTATCCAGACAGAATCACTTTGATCCGAGGCAACCACGAATCGAGACAAATCACCCAAGTGTACGGCTTTTATGACGAGTGCATGCGCAAATATGGTAGCGCCAGTGTTTGGAGGTACTGCTGTGACGTCTTTGATTATTTGAGCTTGGGTGCCGTCGTCGATGGTAGAGTCTTTTGTGTGCATGGCGGTCTGAGTCCAAACATCAACGATTTAGATCAGGTACGGACGAATGAGAGAGAATTCTTGGCTTGTTTCTCGTCAGCTGATGAGGCATCGTCATTCTTCAGATACGATTGATTGATAGGAAGCAAGAAGTGCCGCATGACGGAGCCATGTGTGATCTACTGTGGTCTGACCCAGACGGTGAGCTCGATGAGCAGACCCTGACGGAGGCTTGACTTTTGCTGACTGTGTGATTCCTACTGTGGATGCTGAGTAGACATTGAGGGTTGGGGCATGTCACCAAGAGGAGCAGGGTACTTGTTCGGTGGAGACGTGGTGAAACAGTTTGCACACGCCAACAACCTGGATCTAATCGCAAGGGCGCATCAGCTGGTGAGTCACACTGGCCGTTAGCAATCGCTTTTGCTGTTACACAAGCTGACGTCACATCACATCGTGCTTCCCCAGGTCATGGAAGGTCACAAACTCATGTTCGACAACTTGATCGTCACTGTCTGGAGCGCGCCGAACTACTGCTACAGGTCAGTAGATGATCCTGCTCACTGTGGTGGATTGTTTTGAACTGACCAGAGGCTTTTTGTGCAGATGTGGCAACGTTGCGTCAATTTTGCATCTCGATGACAATCTGAACCCTTCTTACAAAACGTTCGAAGCAGCGACGCAGGTGATTCTGAAGACTGTGAGCTCAACTTGTGACCACATACTGATAGCATGTATGCGCATTTGTTCCAGGATACTCGAGGCATACCTGCCAAATCTACAGCCCTGCAGTATTTTCTATAGAACCGATTTCCTCGACCGCCTCATCTGGTGGTTGGTTGCGTTTTCCAGTCTTCTTTGTATGAACATGATGATATTGTTGTCGATACCTTTGCAAGAAAACAAGAGGTTGTAATGTAGTTGTACAAACAGAATGAATCAGCGATCTGCGAGTCCTCCTATGTCACCAATAGCAAGTGCACGCATCAACCCAGCACTTGAGGCACAATAAGAGAGCGAGTGTGTTGCCGAGAACAGCACCAATCACAGTCGTCTTCAAAGCTCGATACCAAAAAATGAAGCGACGTATCACTATCAAGTCGCGAAGGCCATGGCCATGGGATTATCAAAAAAAGATGAAGTAGCGTCGTCGGGTCTCGATCCCGAGACCTCAGGGTCACAAATCCTATTCAGATCAAATATGAGCCCTGCGCGCTTCCAGCTGCGCCACAACGCTTTGGTTGCGATGTAGAACCCAGCACAAGCCGTCAATTATATTGTTTACGACAAAGATGCACGCCGAACGCCGAGCTTTCACTTTCACTTTCACTTTCACTTTCACTTTCACTTTCACTTTCACTTTCACTTTCACTTTCACTTTCACT